ACCCACATCAAACGCTCAAAAGTAGCACTTGAGCCACGGAACTAGCAATTCCAGCAGTAACCAAATAGAAATTGAGAATTAATAATTTTAAGTAACACTGCAACCAGTACCACTGGTGCTCAGACAGGAAAGTATTAAATCAACGGCAGCAACTCAACCACACGAAATGAACCTTCAAAATAAGTAAGTGACTTCAAATAGAAGCCACAATTATAGGCAAAAGATCTCAACCAGTACCACTGGTGAGTCACAGGGAAAAGTAATCAAGCGGCCAATAATTCAATAAATAACAGAAAATACCCCCACTATGGCAGCAATTAAACCCAATTCTATCCAAAAAGCACCCCCAGAATATGCCTAAATCACCCCTGCTATTAGCCATAAAGAAACTCAGACACAGGGTGGACTGGAACGACTCAACCAAAAACGCCCAATAGGCACAACTCGCTTAATTAGGCAATCCAGAACACAGGATTATCAGATATTAAACAACTACCATCACCAGTACCACTGGTGAGTGCATAGGGAGAAATTAAAGCAAATAACCAATCCAGTGCACAAAATAGATTCGAACACCCAAACAGCGCCAAAAATGAACGGAAATTAAAGCCAGAAGCAATGGTCAACTAACTCCCAAAGTACCCTAAATATCGCAGCAGTTTAACTCAACTCTACCCAAAATTAGACCAGAAAATGCCCAAAATTACTGCCCGCTGTTTTCCAACAAGAAGCCCAAGCAAAGGTGCAAAATTTTCGCAATTTAAGGTTCAGAATAAGACAAATTAAGGCAGGAACCGCAATACCTCCACCTGCCAACAATTGACAGGTGGTAACGAGCTAGGGTGGAGCTGGCGGAGATGAGAGCTCACGAGCTGGTGGTGGGCTGGTGGAGGTTGGAGGCGGACCGAGGAGCTGTGGAGGACGCCAGGGGGAAAAGGAGGTAGATGCGGCGGTCGTAGCTGGAGTGGAAGCATCGAGGGTCGGCGAGATGCGAAGTGGATGGCCGGCTGGTCCATTGCGCGAGACGCGAGGCGGCGGCGTTAAGGAGGTGGGCGGCGCTGGACGCTCGGCTGCTGGGCACGGCTGGCGGCGGATCGAAGGGAGGAGTAGCGGAGCTGGTGGTGGTGGCGTGCGTGATGTGGGATGCGGCGTTAAGGGAATTCGGGCAACAGAGAGGGAACAGAGGAGGAAGAAAAGAAGAAGGAGGAAGAAGAAAGAAAGAAAAAGAAAGAAAGAAAAAGAAGGAAAAGAAAGAAAAGAAAAGAAAGATTTTTTTTTTTTTTTTTAAATTGAGAAACCTAGCTACGGTTGAAAAATTTTTTCTTTTTTTTTTTTTGGTTTTTTTTTTTTTCTCTGCGGAAAAAAATTTTTTTTTTTTTTTTGAATTTTGGAAATTAAAGCTACAGTAATTAGAAAATTTTTTTTTTTTTTTTTTTTTTAGAATCCTTACCTTTCCCGCGAACGTGACGCGGGCGCGTCAAGAGGTCAAGAGAGCTCCCAGAAGTTTCAGAAATCCCTAATCGTGAGCGTCCTGTACATCACCACGCGGGCACGTCATGAGACCAAGAGAGCTCCCAGAAGTTGCAGAAATTCCTGATCGTGAGCGTCCTGCACATCACCACGTGGGCGCGTCATGACTGAAGGTCACCTACAAATCAGCAAAAATGAAGATCAACACCCAAAATCAGTCAAATTAAAGGGAAAACAGATTTAAACTATGTCACTAAACCAATAAGCAATTGAAAGAAACAATTGGGTTGCCTCCCAATGAGCGCCTTTCTTTTATGTCTTTGGCTAGACATGGTCATGTTTTGTTCATGGAGGATAAAATCTTGTGGCTCGTCTTAATGCTTCATCTTCAATGTGATCCTGATAACCCTCATAGATGGAGTAATCTTTGAGCACACGAGCTACAGTCTTCCATGGATTAGTTGATGGCGCCAAATAATCAAGCAGTGATCTCAATTTTTCCTCCACCCCTCCATCAAGAGCACTCAACGGTTCAAGATATTTGACCATAGCTACTCTTAACTTATTTCTGCCATGAGACTCAAAAACTTCCGGTATAACAAAATCAATCTCATTAACAGAAATCATGGAATAAGAGTTACGAAAATGCGGGTTAGGGAATGGAGGTGGTGTCACCACATTTGATGATTCTTCACTGGATTCTTTCACTTCAATGGGTTGCGGTTGGGGTTCCATTTCTTCATTTTCGGCTTCTTTTTCAACTGCATCTGTAGATTTCTCATTTTGACATTCTTGCATCTCCTCATCCTTGTCCTTAGGGATCACAGGCTCAGGCCCTTGAACCTCTTTGCCACTCCTCAAGGTCATGGCGCTGACATTCTTCGGGTTCAACTCAGGTTGAGATGGCAATTCACCTTGGTTCTGGGAATCCAAACGATTGATTGTTGTAGCCATTTGACTTATCTGATTCCTTATATCCTGCATTTCGGAGTCCGTCCTTTGTTGATTTTGCATAAGAATTGCCTCCGTCCTTTGCTGATTTTGCGCCATGTTTGTCATCACTTGTTTTATCATCTCCTCCAAAGATGGACCAGAGCTTGGGGGCGGAGGTGGTCGGGGTTGGTATTGCTGCTGGTACCCTGACAGGGACGATGGTTGTTGAGACTCTTGCTGTTGAAAATCCATTGGCCCAGTCGCATAATCAAAACTGGAATTATCCCACCATTCTTGATCATACCCGTTTGAATAAGGGTCATACTGCATTTGATATTGGGGTAAAAAATCTCCAAAAGTATCAATTGGAGCACTTAGATTGTCTTGAAATGCGGGGCATGTGTCAGTTGAATAACCTGAGTCAAAATAAGCTCCACAATTTGCAACAGCCCATTGATCATTAGGAAAAACATGAGTCTCATAACCCCATTCAGGAACAAAGTCCAGTCTATCATCAAAATATGGAATGTTAGCAGCCATAAACTATATAAAAAAAAATAAGAGAAAAATAAATTAAAAATAAAACAAGGTGAACTCAAAAAGAAACAAATTAATCTGACACCAGTCCCCGGCAGCGGCGCCAAAAATTGACAGGTGCCGAACCTGTGCAATAATAAATACCTACTCGAGAAAAATACAGATTTTGTATATAGCGGTGAGTAGGGTCGAATCCACAGGGATTGGGGATAATTCATTTCTTCTAGAGTCCAAAGTATGGGGGGTTTTGGATTAAATGCTAACTAAATAAATTAACTGCAGAAAATAATTAATTAAAAGAAATGATTGGGGAAACTCTAGCCAAGGGTACACATCAGAAATGGTTCATGCACTGATCATTGATGCAGAAATAATTCCAACATTTAGCAGTAGATTAGTTATAGTTGTCATGCACGCGATAAACAACCAACCCTTCCTTAATTTCTCGATAGCTAAGGTACGACCGTTAGCTATTTCTCTAACCCAAAAATAACCCTAGGTACGACCGTAAGATTTAATTTCTAGATTGCATTAATAATTAGAAAGGCCCAATCCTAACCAACAAACACGCTACGAGGGTTTGTTTAAATTAGATCATATGCTCCCCTGACATAAACCCAATTACGCCAGTTGCTACTGAGGTAGAGATAACGAACAATTACGGATTCAATTACCCCTATTTAGCAAAAATAGCCTATATGAATAATTAATCATTGTGCACTAATCAATCATACACAAGGCCATAGCAATTAAAATCAAGGAACATATAAATACCAATAAATGAAGAAAATAATTAAAACAGATTCGATCTCACAGTAATTGTCGAACCAAATCGTCAGTTGTCCCCTTGACTAGAAAAGCTTAACCACGCCTCGTGAGAAAATCTCCCCGTTGGGGAATATTGTCGAACACCTGGCGTGTGTCAGAGGCCAGTCTAAGGAAAGAAAGAAAAGAAACTAAAACTAAACTAAAACTAGAGATGTCCCTGCTACTCTACGTTATCCCTATTTAAGCAACAAGAGGAAGATGACTAAAGGCTATCTAGGTGGTCCCCACACATGTGGACAAAGCCCTCCAAGTACTTCTTGTTCCAAGTCTCTTTCCCGTAGCTTTCTTTTAAGAGCCCAAATGACTAGATGCTTTCCACTAGCTTGTGGTCCCCCACCAATTCAAGGGCCCAAGAATTGAAGCCCTCATTTTTCCATAAAAGTCCCTCCTTTTTGGTAATTTTCTACTTTGTTCCTGAAATTAAACCCCAATACCAAATATAAGTAAATATTAATAATTAAAACAATATTTGGCAAGAATAAAAGGGGAAATTAACAATAAAATTACTAACAATTAACACCCTATCACTTCACAAAGCTTTGTAACCCGAATTTAGCATTGTACGGTCCATATTTCATGGTGCTATGTGGTAGTATTGATTTGCAATCATTACATACTTATTCGAGTGCATTATGTGGATATCTTACTGTATATTCCATACTTCACGAAGTTTTGTAGGCCAAATTAAGTGTTTACATGAAACTTAAGGGTGGTATGAAAGGACCAATTTGGTTGGTCGAGAAACTTTAATGACAAATTTGAATTGATACTCAAAAACTAAGGACTAAATTGATGAAAATTCAACATACAGGATTCCTAACTAGATAAACCCAAAATGCCAAAATACATGCGTCGGAAAAGACTAAAACTCTAAACGCCGCCCACATAATTTAACAAATAAATCTATTCGGTGCCTCGATTCCTGAAATTTCCATTCATAACAAATTTGTTGCTTTTAGCTTAGGAGGAAACATGCACCTAAATTTCGTTCTCACGAGTGTGCGCTGAATCCATATATGGGTGTCCTATAGCCAGATTATTATTATTTTTCTTCAAATTCCCTTCTCTGCGTAATTCAACAGAGGTTTGCCTGTGTTGGATAGTTTGTGCTATGCCTCCATATGAAAGCAATAAACATTATGGAAATCCGCAGGAGTACTGAATTTACTAGCTTTCTAGAAGCAGCAGACAAAATCTGAATGAAGAGCAGGAGCAGCCGGTATGGACTTGAATTTAATAAAATCTATAGGAATCTCATATTCAATAGTAATAAATTTCTTGGCTTCATATTACGGCCCTGATGAGCTAGTATGGGCTTGAATTTAATAAAATCTACAGGAGCGTGCTCCTAGCAATGATTGGACTGGTGACGAGATACAAGTTGCAACTTCAATCAATTTCGAGGTCTGGAGCCCATTTATTTAAATTCTAATACATAATTGTTCATTATCCAGCAAATTCAAGTGTATAATCTTCATGTTCTGCGATTAATTACCAACTTTTTATTTCCTTTTTTCCTTTGGACTGCCAAGGATTGGATGACGCGTAATTGCTAATCTCCTTTGTACCTCCTGATAATGGTGGAATGCTTTGCTCGTTCTTAAAGAAATCTCCTGGATCCACCATGGTCTTTACCTCCATCAATCTGTCAAAATTTTGCTTGAAGTACTTGGTTCCCCAAATGCTTGCTTTTTCATAGCTTGTGATGCCATCAATATTGTTGACTCCCAAATCAAGATCCCTGTAGTTCAAATAGGCAGCTCTTGGGGACTTTGAAACATAGGGAGCCATGTGTTTGTAAAGCCTTCTGATCCACTTCATTTCTCTCGTATTTTCTGCATTATTGTGTTCTCTACTCCAGGCGGCCCAATAGTGAATGATGTAAACATTCCCTCCTCTATGAGGGAAAGATGTCGCAGATTCTAAGATTTCACTCAGCCTTCCTCCATAAGGACTGAACTGTAGCGAACGATGTGCATTAGTACTATCGTCTTCCAAAATTCTTTCGAGCATTCCTTTTAGACCATTTACTGAAATGGGATGCCTAACAAAGTCTGATTTCCCCTTGAAGTACAGCCTATACACTGGAGTCCTGCTCAAAAGAACATCGATGGATTCGTCTCTGGGAAATAATGCAAAGAAGAGTGTGGACTCAATCCAGCTCATCTCGCTGCAATCTTCTTTTACCAAGCCCATCTCGCGGAAGCTTTGCTGCATCAAATAAAGGAGATCATCAACTCCGCCAAGAAATAAAGCAACAAACGATGCTCTGATCGTTCTGTTTCCGTCTTGGGGAGAAGATACAGCATTAAATTCAAGCCTGATTGCTAGGTTTGGATCAATCTTGTCAGCAATGTATTGCCACTTGTGTACTAGCTCAATTGCATTTTGATCCATTGTCTTGGTTACGTTAAAAATTGTCACATTTTCTGGAACCGAAACTAGGCTTATTTTCCATGCAACAATAATCCCAAAACTTGCTCCTCCACCGCCTCTAATGGCCCAAAAGAGATCCTCTCCCATGGATTTTCTATCCAAAATTTGGCCATTAACATCAATGATTTTGGCATCAATGATGTGATCAACAGCCATCCCGAATTTGCGCGACATCATGCTGTATCCTCCTCCACTGAAGTGCCCTCCCACACCTACCGTGTGACAAGTACCGCCAACAACAGCTAGTCTCCTACTTTTTTCAGCAACCCTGTGATAGAGTTCGCCCAAAGTTGCACCAGCTTGAACCCATGCAGCATAGTTTTCTGTGTCAACAGATATCGAGCTGAGGTTTCTGAGATCCACAAGGACAAATGGGATTCTTGAAATGTAAGAAAGACCTTCATAGTCATGTCCACCACTTCGGACTCGAATTTGAATGCCCAGTTTCTTGGCACAATAAATTGCTGCCTGAATCTGGGATTCAACACATGGTGTAAGAATGAAAGCTGGCTCTGAGGATGAGATTGATGTGGATCGCAAATTCTGCGCCGAGGATTGCAAAATTGACAGATATGATGAGTTTTCTGGGGTGTAAATGATGTCAGATATTGAGCTTGAGTTTTGAGATGCAAGGCATTGGACAAAACCATCATGAAGTTGAACTGAACCAGCCTGTATGGTGACCAGCAGAAGAATGAGCAAGGAAAGAAGTGAAGGCAACGAGGAGTAGCTTGAAGCCTGCATAGTCCATAACTCCATATCCCTTTTTGGTTCTAGACAAAACCCGAACTTGTTAATCTCCTATTCATAAAAACTCGAGGGAAGGTTTCAATATCGGGAATTGCATAATACCTACACAAATGTTCTAGGTGAACCAATCAAATAAACACTTTCCCAAGAAATGTGAAAGTACATGAAACCCAAACGGCAAGCTTTATCTTGGTCAATGACCAACTAGGGGATAAGCCTAATAGTTGATCAATGACCTATAAAACAGCTCCAATTAGAATTGAATACCTTAACTCTCTCCACGTCATATGCATTTAATGATTTACTAATAACTAAATACTACCATTTTAACCCTTTTTTTTACGCCATCATATCTGAGAAAGGATTAAAAAAAAAAAGAAGAAATGATGGTTTTGTTATTATCTTGGATTTTATTTATTATTTTTTTAGAAAATATAGAATATATATGCAAACGTATGGGATTCTCACCAAGTTATATGGAATAGACTTGCGTATATATTGTCTCATGAAGTTGTAATTTTTATAAAAATCAGTTATATCTTTTTTAAGTTAATTTTGTGTTAATGTGGATGTGGTTTTGTACTCATGGTTTCTATTCTATATTGTTGTTAACATAATTGAGATGACAATTATTGAGCCTATTATGTGTTTGATAAAATGCCGAAAAAAAAAGGCGATCCTTTGTTTTTTATTTTTATTTTTTTTTTTGGCTCATTGAAGTTAGAACTAGAGTCAACTAAGTTGGAAGAATTGGTCATCCATTTGGCAAGCTGTGCTTGGTCTTTGAACAACTTCTGTGAAATTAGTTGAGATTCGCTGTGCTACCCACAGCCAGTGCCTACCGAAAGCATTTAATTACAACCATATTTTTGGGGAAATGCAATGAATTGTTTGTGACCTTTTATTTTGGAATAATTTCAGGTTTCTGACAATTTCACTCAACTTTCCTTAGATTTACATAATTACATTGACCTCCCTTAGTGCAACAAAATTACTAGAATGTCCTTCACTTAATTAGTTGATTCATAAAGAAAGACACCATACCACTATAACCAGCAAAACATTCCCAATTGTCGTATAATCTGCAATCACTTCCTTTCACCTCTCTCTCTAACTCCTCTCCTTCATCCCATATTATGTATCACTAGATTCATAGCCACCACCTAAACCACCATGCTCATCACTATTCCCTCTCATTTCGAATGTCATTTTTTTACTTGATTCCTTTCTTTCTTCACATTCTATTGCAAATATTAGCAAATACTGATTAAATAGAGAGCAAAGAACAGAAACAAGAATTTCTTCATTATCAAATTAAATAAGGAGAGGATGGCAAATAGAAAGAATAAATTTGAAACCAATAGCTGAAAGTAAGAGGGACCGGATGATTGGTATATTGTTGTGTCTATTTATTCAAAAAAATTTATTTGATATCCATAAAAATATTTAATAGATATCCATAACTGCACTTGTTGCTGAAAAATGAAAAATTCATCTTTTTGTTTTTGATTTACTAATGTGAACAGTGGTTTTTTTTTTTTTTTTTTTTATGGAGATAGGATTAGTCTCTAATAGAGATGATGGAGTAATAATGGGTTATTCTTTAGGTCACAGTGGCATTGCTCCTAGTATCCATATAGGTGATGATGGGCTAGATTAGCTATTGCTAGTGGGTTGAGAAAGTTGTAGGCAAGCTTTTAGGTTTTTTAAGTGGGGTTATATTTGATCACGTAGTTTTTAGTGAAAGCCTTTGGGAAGCAAGATGATTCTAAGGCTGCAAATATTTGTTAAAATCACTTGAAATGGAGATTGAACTATAAATAATTGTTTGCTCGATTGGCTTGGTATAGTGGCAGGTTTGCGATGGTTTTAGAAAAAGAAAATGTGCATGATTGAACTAACTTTTTCTCTTTGTTGTTATGTCAATAAGGGTATATTAGGATTTTTGAAGAGAAATGTAGTATATTGGGTCTATATAGTTGCCTAAACAGTAAAAGTATGGGAGGTATGTATAATTTTTAAAACTTAAGGGGAGGCGACTACAATTGTTATAAACCTCAAGGGAGGTTTGTAAAATTATGGCTTTTATTTTTATATTTAGCATATAAATAGTTTTATAATTTTGGAGTTGATAATGCAGTTAGTGTTTAAAAGTAAAAAGAACAATGTGTATAATCAAATGATGAAAATGGCCAAAACTATTCCGATTTGTTAGAAGTTAGAATAAAAATTTTAGATTAACATCTTGCATTCCTGGTAGGTGCCATTTAACATTTGGAGATAGATATTCGTTAAAGAATCAACAATAAGTTATGGTTGTTTAGAGAAACTCAAAAAATAAAGTAAAGTGCTTCTTCTAAAATATCTCCAAGAAAAAAAGGTGAAAAAAAGATTATAGTCCATGTTAAGAAAACAAAAAAGAATATAATTCAGAAAAATAGTACTACCTTTGGTTGGGCTCACATATTCCTCACCTCAAAGGATCGAATACAGAAGCAAATTTTGTATCTATTTCAAATTGAAAATTTTGTATAATTGTTAAAAATGAGAAATCAAATTTAAAAAATGTACTGAGTTGAATGTTCAACTCATGATGTTATGAAATCGAAAATAATTCAACTCCTTTCAGAAAACTTGTCGATTATAACTTGCACAAAAACCTGCAATTGAGGGGGCAAAAAGATATCCAGTATATTCATGGCCAAAATTTGTAGCACTCATAAGGAAAATACAAATACATATATCCACAATTTATAAAAAAAAGAAAAGAAATATGCATCAATTTCTATGATGGCTGAAGAAATTGCGAGCTAACCAGAGCTACTTTTTTGGTCCGTTAATAAGAACTATTTTTTTTCCATTAAGAGCTAGATCTACCATTTGAAGACATTCTATGATGCCTAGAGCAAAATACATCCAAGCAAAGTAATTTCTAGTTGGAAAAAAAATTATGGAAAGAATTTCACCAAAAAGATGGAACTTATACATGACAAAAATCGAGCAAAGAAGGTGAGTTGCAATGGTTGCAATTCTTGCACTGGTCTATTTCTTATCTACAGGCAAGTAGGTGGTTCAAACTGAAACAACAACTAATAACTGAAGAATTAAAAAAAAATAGAGAGAGAAAGAAAACAGTAGGCATAGTCATCTCAAAATCATAAAAACATCAACTCATCTATGAAAATAAATAAATAAAAGAATCAACTTATAAAGCAATTTGGTAGAAATCAAACATAGGAACGTAACAAAAGAAAACAATTTGGCTGATTTACATAAAAATCGCAAAAAGGAAAAACCGAAAAAGGGAAAAAGATCCGAGCAAATCTGATTCCTCAAGCATGCAAATAAAATAGTTAAACATAAAATATATGTCAATTACTTCTTTAGCTTCAAAATAAGAAAAAGCAAGAAGACAGAGAGCTTACCAAAACAAAAGCACTAAGAAGAGAACCAAATGACCACAAGGCTCAAATAATTGGGCATTCTCTCTTATGTATAAGAAAATTTTTGATTAAAAAAAGTAAACATCACATCTAATGAATTTTTGGAAAAAATTCGGATGGCCTGAGACAATCGAGACACAAAAAAGTCATCCGTGACCATGCCGATTAGGTAAACAAAGATGCCGTTTAGGTAGAGAAAACATGTAGAAACAGTAAACTACAGTATTCCAGTTAGATTTTATAAGGTAGTTAATGACCACCATAAAGCTTGCAGCACGGGCTACTGCTCTTATCTCTCATCATTTGCGTGGCCATTAATTAAAAACCTGCCAATGAAATTGTGCCACTTGTACCAAGAAATACACTAATGGAAACTTGCACATAGATTGTCTCACCACAACTTCTTAAGCACTAGTATTACGTTTGAAGGATGACTGAAGTGTAAATTTTACTTTACAGTCGTAAATTATAGATGCATTCTCTTAAATTTCAATTTTGAATTCTTTACCCCATAAAGTATGAATTATATTCCGCTTTAATACTTAAGATTCAATTTTTGGATACTTTACCGTCTAAACCATGAAATCTATTTTACTTTAGTCCACTTTAAATTTTGAGCAATACTTACCTACTATTCTGTTAGTTTTGATAATTCTATGGATAGATTTTATATTTTACGGGTAAATTGTTCAAAACTAAAATGGGAAGAATTTCATACTTTAGGGAATAAATTGTTCAAAAATTAAAATATAAGGACTAAGGTGGGACTCCGTCTATAATTAAGGATTTGAAGTAAAATTTAGCGGATGATTAAACATAATAGTCAAATGTAGTTCTATTTCTTAATTGTCATATGAAATGTGAACTCTCAAACTTGGAATATATTTTTTATGCTTTACGAGATAACGAAGATTTGCACGACTACAACTAACAAATTAATATTTTTTAATAATTTATTTGTGAAATTGGGTGTTTTAATACCAAAAAAAAAAAAAATGTTGGGCAATGAGGGATTGCACAAGATGATTGCATTCTTTGACTCCCTTCAATTATTTCTCCTCAGTCCCTTTAATAATTGACTGTCAAATACAACGTTTTCATTACTAAACTCGTCCTTTTACATTTTTCACAAGTTAAATTGCCATTTAAACAAATTTGGCGTATTTGTTTACCATAAGCAACGTTGGTAAGTCAAAGTCTGCTTGAATCTACATCATTAATATAATATAGTCGATGATGAAAAGAGCTAGCCCCAAAATGACTTTTTTTTTAAAAAAAAATTATAGTATAAATGGGAACGCTCGAATCTGAAATTTCTCACTTACACCCCTTCCTTTCAAACCACCAATCCATCCCTCCCCTCTAAACAACTTGATGTTCGACTAAACTACTCCAAAGTTCACATCTCTTGTCGCAAGACACTAGTAGCATTATCTATTATGTATTACAATATATATATATATAGCACCTAATATATCAATAATAAAATCATTATATGCCTAAAACACCCTTAAGTACTCTGCTACTACGTACTTATTGTGACTTCTGTCAATTAGAGTCCTATATCTTCTTAACGAGTCTTTACGTCTAAATCCCGTGCTCCTAAATTTTTGTTGAGCACAAGGAAGTCAATTATGATGGTCTTCATGAGTCTATGACGCGTAGAAGAGTAAAACAATCCTAGTTGCCAAGTTTCAATCAAATTTGACAACTTCATTAACAATCACATACACATATGAAGCTGAATATCGTGTTTCCCCTTTTTTTTTTTGGGCAAAGCTAAACATTGTGTTACACGTTCCTCTCCTAATTTGTCTATTTACCCGAAATAAGAGAAACTTGGTTGTTTAATTTTCCACGTAACTTCTAAGCGCGGCTCCTGTTAGCAGCAAAAACAAAACTGGAAATGGTCACACGCCATTGACGCCAAGATCAAAGAGAGAAGGATAACATTAATTTGTTGTCCTTCATGACATTATCAAGGCTACAAACAATGCCTCCTATTATTTTTGTATTCCTCAAGGCTTCAATTCGCATCATGATGATAAGACTTGAAAGACACTGCTAATTAATTTTTTTTTTTTCAAAACGACAACATTCTATTGAAGTATGGAAACCAAATTACAAAAATCTGAGCAACTGCCCTTACACTCCATCTGCACCAGATCATGCAGCCACGCTGGGAAGGCCTCCTTCCATTCAGCAGAAAATTCTAGGCTAATTGCCAATTTGGCTAGCGTATGACTAACAAAGTTGTTAACTCTCCTAGTGAAAGTAAAACAACATTCATCAAAAAATTCCTGAGTACTCCTAATATCCTCAATCACCACTGACTCAATCCTCTCAGTACCTTCCCTGTTAAGTTCTTCCACAATCTGTAAACAATCTACCTCAAACACCACCTTCTTCCACCCCTGTTGCTTTGCCAACTTTGTAGCCAGTCTGAGAGCCATTGATTCCTCTTGTTTTGGAGTTGAGACGCTTGAGGATGGTACAGCCCATGCCCCTAACAGCAACCCCTGCCAGTCCCTCGCCACCACTCCCCAACCTGCTCTATCTCCTTACTCTGCAATGCAGCATCAGAATTCAATTTGATCCATCCCTTCTGAGGCCTTTCCCAACCACACACCTCCTTATTCACCTTTGTGCCACTGTCCCCAACTTCCCCTTCAGTTTCTTGCGCATCCTGATACTCTTGCCACTCAACTACTGCCTTATTAACAGCAACCAAAGGATCCTTCCCACAACCATTAAACTGCTTATCATTCCTAGACTTCCAGATTTGCCAAAGCAGGTTAATTGTCAGACAAATTCGTTCCATACCTTTCTCCTTGCTCACAGCTTCTTTAAGCCCTTCCCACCAAAGCCAAAACTTGTGTCTATAAACCTCCAGACCCTCCCAGTTCAGGGGTGCTACTTTCCATATTAGCTTGGCGTTGCTACAGAAAAATAGCATATGCTCAGTGGTTTCTGGCCCCTCCCCACAACCTTTGCACACATAATCTCCCTTTAAGCATCTTTCCCTTATTACTGCATTAACTGGCAGAATGCCATGCAAACATTTCCATATGAAATGCTTTAGTTTGTGTTTCACGCTCTGCCCCCAGAGGAAATTCCAATGTTGGTTTACACCTGACCTCCCAAAGCTGGTTCCTGCCTCCTTCCACTCCTCTCCACCCATCCTTTTCTCTTTCTTTGCCAGCCTATAACCAGATTTTACAGTGTACACACCAGTAGTAGAAAACGCCCAAAATAACCTATCCTTTCTAGGCACCTCACCAAGAGGGATACTCAAAATCTGCTTACCCTCATCCTTATCAAACACTTTGGTTATCAGCTCCTTGTCCCACACTCCTTCCTTAATAAGTTCACTTACTTCCTGCAACTCAACATCCCTTGCCCTCCTAGTCTTAACTTTACCATCACCAGACCCTGGAACCCATCTATCCTCCCAAATATTAATTGACTTGCCATCTCCCACCTGTTTCCTTATTCCTTTCTCCAGAATTTCCCTAGCCTGCAGCAAACTCTTCTAACACCAGGAATCAGAACCATGACTTCCTGTCCTCCAAATAGATGTACCCCTAAAGTACCTGGCCTTCAGAACTCTACTTACCAATAAATTGGGATTCATCAGGATCCTCCACAACTGCTTAGCAAGCAAGGCCAGATTGAACTCATGAAGTTCCTTGAAACCCAACCCCCCCTCAGCCTTCACCTCAGTCATCTTCCCCCAACTTAGCCAATGCACCTTATGCTCATTCTCCTTCTGACCCCACCAAAACTTTGCCATTTCTGAACAAATCTCTTTGCACAGCATTTTTGGGAGAAGACATGCAGACATAACATAGGTGGGCAAAGCCATAATAACAGATTTCAAAAGCACCTCTTTCCCTGCTAAACTTAGAAATTTCTCCTTCCATCCCTGAAGCCTAGCTATTGTTTTTTTCCTTATAAAATCAAACACTTGTCTCTTTGACCTACCAATGACAAGGGGCAATCCCAGATATTTGCTCTGAGAAACCTGCTGCATACCTTGGAGCTCAGTCATCACCTCCATCCTCTGTCTTCGGCCCACATTCTTGCTAAAAAACAGTGAGGATTTCTCCATGTTAATCAGCTGTCCTGAAGCCTTCCTATACACCTCCAAGATCCTCCTGAGCTGGCTAGCCTCTACTGCATTTGCTTTACAGAAAATCAAGGAATCATCTGCAAAAAATAAGTGAGATAATCCAGGTGCCCCTCGAGCAATCCTCATGCCTGACAAGGAACCTTGACTGTTAGCTTGCTTAATCAGGGATGAAAACCCCTCAGCACAAATCAGAAAAAGATAAGGGGATAAAGGGTCCCGCTGTCTTAGACCTCTAGTAGGCCTAATAAACCCAGTTTTTTCCCCATTGATGTTCACAGAGTAAGTCACACTAGTTACACATTCCATAATCCAACGAATCCACCTAGAACAGAAGCCCATTTTCTCCATAAGCTTAGCTAAAAATATCCATTCCACTCTATCGTAAGCCTTGGACATATCAAGCTTGACAGCCATATACCCATTCCCTCCAGTTCTTTTGTTTTTTAAGAAATGGACACTCTCATGAGCTATTAACACATTATCAAGAATCTGTCTGTCAGGCACAAAGGCAGACTGAGAACTACTAATACAATGATTCAAGACACATTTAAATCTGTTAGTCAGAACCTTGGCAATGATTTTATAGGTAACATTACACAAGCTTATAGGCCTAAAGTCAGTGACTGAAGTGGGATAGTCCAATTTAGGAATCAAACTGATCAGGGTTTCATTAACAGATTTCAAAAGAAAACCAGAATGAAAGAAACTCTGGACTGCTTGCACAACATCAATTTTAACAAAATGCCAAAACTTCTGGAAAAAACAAGGAGTCATACCGTCTGGTCCAGGAGATTTGTTTGGATGCATTGAAAAGACTGCTTGATGAATCTCCTGTTCTGAGACTTCCCTGGTTAGCTTCCTATTCATCTCAGCAGAGATAGACAGTAGAACTCCTTGTAACACTTCTGCAAATTCCTCAGGATAGTCTGAAGTGAAAATTTGCTCAAAGTAGTCTAGAATCTCTTTACTAGTTTTCTCCTCATTTCCACACCATACCCCATCCCTTCACTTCAGAACACTGATCCTATTTACCTTCCTTCTCCCAGTCACAGTAGCATGAAAATAACCAGTATTCTTGTCCCCTTCCTTTAACCACTTCAGCCTTGCCTTCTGGCTCCAAAATAACTCCTCCTTCTTATAGGCAGCAGCCAACTTCCTCTTTAACCCCAGCAGCTTGATTCTACACCCATCTGGCTTATTCAACTTAACCTCCTCTATTTCCTTTTTAACTTGCTCAACCAGCTTCTTTGCATTACAGAACCTTCTCTTACTCCAACTCAGCAACTCCACCCTTACCTTCTTGATCTTACACTGGACCTTATATAACTTGGATCCATGTTGTTGTTCTTCCCAAGCATTCCCAATTACCTCCTTTATTTTTTTATTTAGGAGCCACCTCCTATCGAACATGAACCTTTTCTTCCACCTCTTACCTACAGGATTGGTATCTAGAACCAACATACAATGATCTAATGCCTCAGTTCCACATGCAAACATTTTGCCTTATCTATCTTCTGAGTCCATTCTATCGTTCCCAAGATCCTATCAAGCCTCTCCTTTATCTCTCCCGCATTCCCCCAATTATTACACCATGTCCAAGGAGGTCCAACAAAACCAATATCCAGCAAGTCATTATCCTTAATGAAGGAATTGAACTCCTGAAAGCTTATTTCTGCTCTCACATTACCCCCCCACTTCTCCCCATTTGAAGTAATATCATTAAGGTCTCCCATAATTGTCCAATACTCCCCCCACAGCACCTTCCTTCTACTAATTAAATTCCATTGTTCTTTCCTAACCCCTGCATCTGAGCTCGCATATGCACAGATATACCACCAGTCAAAGCCAAATTCTGTATCCTCAATGAGTAACTCAATGGTAAAGTTAGTAAACAGGACCTTTTTTACTTTTAACTCCTGCTTCCACATCACTGCCAGCCCCCCTGCTCTACCCACTGGATCAGCAACAAACACCTTATCAAATCTAATCCATTGCATCACACTATTCATATAACTTTTTTTCTTTTTGGTTTCAGATAAAAAAACTAAAGAAGGAGAGTGGAGTCTCACGACCTCCCTCAACTGGGGAACTGTCAAGGGGCTCTCCACACCTCGACAGTTCCACACCACAGCCTTCATTTAGTTGTTGGAGTCCCAATAAGGGAGGACTCCAGCCCCTCAGCCACCTCCATCCAATCTCCTTCTCCCTCCACAGGTTTGGCTCTCTTCCAGTTTTCCTTCCCTGCCTGTTCATCCTCCCTCTCCCCTTCCATCTCTCCTACCTTCCTCTTCCCCTTGCCCCCCAACTGTAACCCCCACATTTACATCCACCAAAGGTTTCCTCCTACTCACCTCCTTCACCAACCTTTTCCAACTCCTGTTTGCAGAAAAGCTCCCCTTTGGTCTTCCCCTCTGCTTTCCCTCCTTCCTTCTTTCCTCCATCCCCACATCCCTCATTCCTCCTTCCTTACCATCCATCCCCTTAATCCTAGCACTATCTTCCCTACCCTTCCCCCCATCACCCTCGATCCACATCATATCAACTGACTCCCCCATTCTCACCACTGAGTTTGCCTTCTGCAAATGTGACGTTTGTACCCCTTGCCTCCCCACACTCCCCAACTCCTCAGAAAACCATGCCTCTTTCCCTACATCTCCCTGCTCTAATCCTCCCTCTTCCTGTTTATCTCTCCCTCTCCCTTCCCCATCCCCCACTGAACCTCTTCTAACCCCCTCACCTTCGCCCCTTAAATCTCCAACATCCCCAGCCAACTCCTCCTGCCCAGTATGATTTAGATTCTCTCCTCTATGAAAATCTTCTGTATATTTTAAAAGAAGACTTTCCCCCTCCCTCCTCACTTCCTCAGAAGCACCACTTTGTCTCCCCGTTTCACCCCTACCCTCACCACCATATCCAGCATTGCCTTTCCTATTAGGACTCCTCGGATAGCTAGCTCTCAACCAGTTCTCATACTGTACAGCCTTATCAGTGTTCAAGCCCCTTTTACTGCAAATCCTTTCACCATGTCCAATCAGACCACAACAAAAACAAAAATCTGGACATTTCTCATACTTAAATTCTATCCACCTCTTAACACCATTACAACTGACCATAGTGCCTCTAGGAAGAGGAATAGTAAGATCTATCTCTACCAACACCTTCAAATGTTTCCCATCCTTACCCCCACTCTGAGGAATAATAACTTCCTTTACTTGCTCAAATATACTCCCGATCTTCCTCCCAGCTTCCTTTGTTACCCAATGCAAAGGTATATTCCAAATCTGTACCCAAATTAAAGTTTTACACAACCTCACCTCATTTTCCTCCACTCCAGGTTCCCAGCGAAGCAAAACTAACGGCAGACCATCATAGATCCATGGCCTCTTATTCAGAACCATCTCTAAATCCTGCTCCTTATCAAACATAAACTGGAACAAATTACGCCCAACCTCCACAATTTTTAAACGCCTCACCTGAGACCACATACTATGCGCAAAACTCCTAATTCCATTTACATTAGCTTGTTTTTCTCCCCAAACCTTACCTATCAGACTTTGCCTACATTCAAGGACTCCTGTAGCCACCTCGTCCTCCTCCAACTGAACCCCCACCCTTTCCTCCTCCGACAATCTGAATTTGTGCAGAACGTCCTCAATATTCTCCATTCCCCTAACCACCGTCCACCTCGCTGCAGATCGCAGGAAGCTATCAGGATAGTGCAGACCAGAAGCTTCTCACACTGCTAATTAATTGCTATTGATGAAATGTTGCATTATTCCACTTGTCCTTAAAAGCATATCTAATAAATGTAAAATTTGCCTTCTAAGACATTACTAATACTCCTCCAAAAATATCGAGGCCACATGTATTCAATTTTCACTTGGATGGATGGTTGATCTGACATGCAATTGTCATGCAGTTGAATTCGATAGTAGCAGTAATTAGCTAGTGTTTTGATGCATGCAAAGCAATGATTCTGACTATCTGAGTTTAGAAAGAGCCGGAAGATAAAAGCGGGTAGTTCATCTACTACATCATTTAACACCGAATTACTAGTAAAATTAGCCGCCAAGTGTTAGAGAGAAGTACCGACAAGTAGGCCATTAGCAAGTAGCCTTCAATCTTTCGGCGGCACCAGTCTAACAAGACCAAACTGAACATCCAACCAAACCAACTTGTTTTTAGCAAGTTCGCCACCAAAGGGGACCCGTTATAGGATGTGGGTTGTGAGTTCAAATCTCGCACCTCGCAATTAAAAAATGTTAAAGAGTGTGCTGGGTAAGCCTGTCAATGGTTTGGAATATTGAATTCCGACTTGCATCCTACTCGGACCCATTTAAATGAATAAATAGTTATAAAATATATACAAAAATTAATATATAATTATGGATAGGATATACCAGATCCGTATTCGGACTCGATCGGATTTGGATTTGGGGAGATCAAGTGTAAGACCCATCGAGTATACGGATCGAATCTGGAGCAAGTATAAATAAATAAGTTCGGGTCTGGAACATTCAATTTCTGACCCGAACCTGATCCGTTGACATGTCTAGTGCCGAAGCATGCCTTTAATTAATGAGTGTACCAGAGCACCCCTTTGATCTAAATGAACCTGTCTTTCCTCTAACCCTTTATATAACCCAGTTAAGTTCCCCTCGTAGCATAACATCGTAGAGGTGTTGCCAATTGATAAAAGAAAAATTTGCATATCACTATTTGATTATGAATACCCCACCTAAAAATCCCCATTTCTAGCAAAGCTCAAGAATCAACACATAGTTTTACCCCTCTAAGAAACTATCAGTCAAGTTGATGCCTGTACTAAAGATACAGCCGCGTGATGAACTCAGGCAATAAGATTAAGCAGATATACTCCATGATGGTTAATAACTTCGCGAGATTCTGCACTGCAGTAGGCAATTTTCAATGCATTGAAATTTGAAAGTAACGAATGCCCATTGTAGCTTTGTTGAACACGGCATGTATGTTCCAGACAATGTTGAGCTGCCGTTCAAGGTGCCAAAGTACTGCGACATGAATGGTTATATTTGTTGGCTAGTAAGCTTTTTTCAAAATTATACTTGTTATTAATTGAGTCAACTTGTAGTGGTCCATATATCTTCTCCTAATTTATTTGGGTTGCTGTAGAATAAACAAGGGCCGCTTTGCAATTACAGTTAATCAATTGCACCATATAATGTAAGCACTATCACAATAAATGTATGTACGAGAACAACAAAGGAAGATGATAAGATTATAATATATAAAAAACACAGCAAATTTTGTCACTAATTGAAAGTTATATAACAGGGCTATTTCCATTTGTCAAAATTCAAATTAAATCTTTTGGATCATCAATTGTTTCGTATAATTACTACTATGTTTTCAGACTCGGACTGGGTATCGATTCGGTCGCAATGGGTTCTATTGGATTCGATCGGAGTTGAATCAAATGACGTCATAAACAAAAATTATTTAAAAACTAAACTATTGTATGTAAAATACCTAAGAGCATGTTAATATTAATAAAGGTATATTCATATATATTTGATATTTCAAATATATTTAACAAGAAAATACAAAGAAATTAGAACAACCAAGTAGCAATTTATATTATTTAATGAACATTAACAAGTTTAGAATTAAAATTATGGACTTAATTGGAAAATAACACCAAACTTTAAGACAACATTTATAAAGTATGAAATATTTGAGGTATATTAATAATTTTTAATAACATAGGGGTCAAAATATAATATAAAAAATGCTTTGACCTTTGAAAAAAAAAAGAACTTTGACAGTTGCTGGTTCTTCCTGATTCTTCAGTTTTTTCCAGTCAAATCCGGTTTTTGACCTGGTTTGATTGAGTTTTTATTTGTTCGGTTTTTAGGGATAATTCGGACCGTACAATTGGCCGGTTCTTGGTTCGACCGGTCAGACCAGCTGATCTGGTTCGAATTTAAAAACTTAGAATTACTATTGTCATTGCAGAGAACTTTGTCTGATAAATAAGACTTGAACTTGACTTGTCCTTCAGTCTTTCTTCTTATTGGCAGGACTAAAGTCCCGGTAATCCTGAATTTGGATTTTTTGTTTTATTGACTGTTGTGATGAATTAGAAAAACCAACTCCAAAAATGTAGAATTGTTGGTTTAAGTAAGTAATTGAATTCTTACATTATGCAGGTATCAAAACAAGTATTTAGGCTTTTGGTATTGCATATGATGTATTTTAAATAAAGGAAAGAGAAGAAAAACAAAAGGAAAGTGAAATGAAAAATAAGGGACATTTTAATTTTAAATAAGGAAAAACAATAATTGTTAGGTCAACAGCATGAAGTACCTCGTGCCACACATATTTGGAAGTATCAGCAGTAAAATTTAGACCAAATGGCATTCTCACCAGCTTCTGTTCACAATTTCCCAGTATGGTAAATCAATACTGCTCCAAATGAAATAATACAATTTCTAAGTTTATCATAAAAAAAACAACACTGAGTATGTGTACTCTTAACTTTGTGTTTGAAATTTATGATATAGTTTTTTTTAACCTTATAAGATTACAAGAAACCATTGTGGAGGTAATACAATCAACAAATTAACAAAAAAAAAAAGGTAATTACACTTACAATTGAACCCACAAATATTGAGAGATAAACGCACGTGTAGTGAAACTTTATTAGATAGCCTATACATCTTAAAAGTATGATTTTTTTTTGTTCAAAAGAGATTTCAAACTTTATAAAACCAACGGCTTTTTGGCTGTTCGCCACCACCAAGACTTGGTGGGAAGAGAGATCAAGAGTTCAAACCTTACCTCCTATCAATTATCATAATATGTGATTTTTTCAAAAAACCTATACGGGTACGTGGTGCACCCGTTTAATCTGATGGTGGTTAAGTTCTCATCAATCCCTTAGGCCCAGTTGGATCACCCTCCTTAGATTAGGTTCGAAGAGTCAAACTAGAGATCTAACAGTCACCTATCTGATATCCTTGCTAGTTGAGTATTGCGTACAAAGTAGGGAAAAGAGTCTCAATGGCCCTCTAACTCTTACTCAGGTAAAGTTTTGGCCCTCCAACAATTAAAGAAACAATTTTGGCCATCGATCTAACAAAATGGCATATTCATGGCCCTTCTGTCAAATCCAGCAGTTAACTATGACGGGAAGCTTCATCTCGTGAGATGCGCGCACAAATATGAAGGGCACTATAGTCTCTTAAGGATGGTTGACCAAACAAAGAGAGAGTAAAAAGGTAACTTCTTCTCTTACCTTAAGTTAGAGCAACAAAGTTTGCAGCACTTCAAATTTGGAGCTGAAAATGAGAAGAATGAGCAGTTCCCCTCTACCGGTGTGCAGATGTGAGAAAGAGACTAGAGTGATTACTTCATGGACTTCAAAAAATCCTGGACGAAGGTTTGCTGTGTGCGCTGAAGGTTGCTGCGGATATTGGGCATGGATCGATGAGGAGATGTGCCGACGGGCTACAGAAATTATACCTGGCCTTTTTCGAAAGATTAATGCAACTGAAAAGGACAGAGATGAATATGAAGAAATAGCAAGAAGAAATGAAAGAAAGGTAACAAAATTGAAGGAAAAAGTTAAAAAATTGGAGAAAGACATTCGCAGCAAAAAATGGGTTAATAAGTTGCTAGGGAAATTGCTTTTTTTAACATGGATATTGATTTTTTTAATTTTGATGAGTTGGGGCCAAAAAAAGGGAAACCTTGTCAGTTTTCGACAAATACAAGGTGCTTGCAAACACCTGACCCTTACCAAGTTGAAGTTTGCAGGGGAAGAAGATGATCCAAATTGTTCCTTTTAATGTAAATTTTTGATTTGTAGTTGTATGATGTATCCGCAAACCTTGTAATCAAATCTGTGTTTGTGCTGGTTCTAATGAAATATCTGCTCATCTCTTTTTATTAAATAAAAGAGCTGAAGTTCATTTGTTCGACTCAATGAATTGGTTTGGTATTGTGCTTAGAAAGAAGGCATAATAATGGTGTAAGAAGGAGTACATAAAGCCATGATGTATACATCATATTAATCACTTGTCAATGAGTATCAAAAGGAACTGCTATAATACAAAGCAGAATCAGCATGTTACCAACAAGCAACTGCTAGACAAAAAAAACAGAGAAGAACTGCTAGACACAAAATGAATTGTCATCATCAGTTTACACAAGATAAGACAAAAGAGTTTGTCAAACAGAAATAAGTCTATCATGGCTGAGTTCCTCTTCCAGTGGCTGTTCCTCTCATTTCTCTTTCACCTTGTCTTCCTCTTCCTCTTCCTCTTCCTCTTCCTCTTGCTCTGCCTCTGCCTCTTCCACTCCATCTCCCCCTCCAGTTTCCAATTGTGAATGGGGGTTCTTTACCCAAATAAGCATAGTTCGCATTGATAGCTCCTTTTTCGGCATCAGTAAGTGGTTTTGTAGCTGAGTTTTTTCTTCGCTGCGAATGATGATGTTGTTGGCTCTGTTGTGGATGTTGCTCTCCAGTTTCATCGTTAGCCTATTGCATTTGTTGTTGCACATTTTGAGAAGACTGACCTGGTTCCTTATTCTTATCAAAATTGTACATGACACAAATAAGTACATGACGGATGTAAAATAGTGAAAAATTAATAGCAATTGCATGCACTTGCTGTCCTCTCTTTTTCTACTGATTGCTGCCTCTGCTGATTACTCGGTTGAGCTTCGGATGACTGGTTAGAGCCTTGTTGTGCTTCTTCATTGGAAGGCTTCTTGCACGTAGCTGCATTATGACCAATCTCACCGCATTTTCTACAATGAATGACAACTCTCCTCCTCAACCTTCTACCATGATCTCTCCCCTCAGTCACATCCCTTCTCCTAGCCTTTTTAGGCCTACCAGGTTGAGTAACTGGTATTGGTGGATTCAACACAGGCATGGTGGATGATGGCCAATGATCATCGCCACTAATTGACTGCAAAACATTCTCATAAATCTGGAAGAAGAGGCCTCTGCTATAAGAACGATCCAGATAAGAGTAAGGATCCTCTTCTCGCATGAAGATAGCAGCAATTGCATGACAGCAAGGAATTCCACTAACCTCCCATAATCTGCAAGTACAATATTTTTTTTGCATATCTACTGCAAATTGGGCCCCTCTTGGACCTTTGACTTGATAGCCATGCAGTGCATTCCAAATGGGCATCCACTGACTTGAATGCTTGACTCTAGTCTGAACAATCTCATTAATTAAAGGTCCAGTGGAGCCCTTGCATTTCTCCATTGCAGCGCGTCTTCTTTGGATCCTCTCCATAAGATATTCCCTTATAATTTCCAACATTGTGATGATAGGTTGGTCCCTTGCATCTTTAATGTGGGCATTGAAGGACTCGCATAGGTTATTCACTATCATATCACTCTTGACGTGAGTTGGAAAATATGCTTTGCACCAATGTCGAGGATGAGGAGCTTTCTTGACCCATTCATATGCATCCTTATCAAAAGTTTGAAGTTCTTCCATAGCTTTGTCATACATTTCCACTATTGTGCAACTTGCTATGTTCCATATCCTGTCTTTAAGAGCCAAACCAGGATGCTTTTTCTTGAAATTGTGATACATATGTTGGACACAGTACCTGTTTTTACAAAGTTATTTAAGTCATTGTTAAACAATTGCAAAACTTCAGTGGAAAAAAAAACTTGATAAAAATTTCTTAGTTTTAAAGGAAAACAAAATACCTGTGCTCACATCCAGGCAGAACTTCACCAAGTGCCCTGTCTAGCCCCTAAAATGAAATCATGATATAGACTGTTAGTTTCTACCATCATTTGAATCAAATGTTGAATTTCAAAGTTTTATATCATACCTTTTGCTGATCTGATATAAAGGTATAGTGGCACTGATTTTCGATTTCCAAGTCATCACTTAAATATTTGAGAAACCAAGTCCACTGCTCAGTTGCTTCTCTCTCCACAACAGCCCAGGCAATAGGCCACCATCCATTATTCGGGTCTGCAGCAATGGCAATTAGTAATTGTCCTCTATAAACCCCCTTTAGATGGCAACCATCTAGGCCTATTATTGGCCTACAGCCATTCTTGAACCCCTTCTTCAATGGGTCTAAACAGCAGTATAACCTCATGAAAATTGGATTACCCCCTGATCCTCTAAATGGAGTAAACATTATCTCCATTGTACTCCCTTCATGTGTCTTCTTTATCTCAGCACAATACTCTCAAAGTTTCTTATATTGTGCTTCGGCCGACCCCTGTATCTGCTTCAGAGCCAATTTTCTCGCATTAGAAACCACCCATTTAGAAATTTGGGTTTGGTACTCCTCATGCACTGTTTGCCTAATCTCCCGAGTTGGCATGCGAGTGTTGGATCTAATTCTCTCCATATATCTATTTGACAACCAATTGGCCTTCAAATTTTTATTTTTTCAGGCATGATTTCAGTTTTCATGCTTGTCATACATTGTCTTCACCACCAAATCTGTTGTGCCAAGTGCCTTTTCAACTGATGCAAACACATACCATGGACATGGATCTTTACACATGGCTCTCACTCTCTTTGGTTCATTCTTCTTTGTGTACACTGGTTTTCCCATCTTAATTCCATATTCTTGGATAGCAGCTTTGAATTGGGCTCTTGATTCGAATTTCAAACCCAACTCGAACCTTATATCAATCCTAAATTTTTCCCAAGAAAAATCTTTATACCTGCCAGCATACTGCTCAGGTTTTTCATCTTCCTCTGATGAACCAACATCACTTCTTAGATGATCTGGGATTGTATCTTCTGCCAATGCATCTGCTTCAGCTGTAGAATCTCTGGTCTGCTGCTGCTGTTTTGTTTTTCTTCTTCGCCTTACTTGTTTTTTTTTCTGTTGTGCTTGCTGTTGTTCTGAGGACTGTTGTGTTTCAGATTGTTGAGTAGTAGCCTGTCAGTAGTAGCTTGCTCAGTTGCAGCCTGCTCAGTTGCTTCTTCTTCATGCTGTGAAGGTCCTCCACTTTGCACCTCTTCTAATGTGCTTCTACACTGAGTTGGCTGCAATGTCAAATCACCAAGAAGATCCTCATCTCTACAGTATTCTACATCACCACTGAATCTGTCACATTCATTTTCTGATCCAGAATCTTCATCATCTCCTCCATCTCCTTTATCTTCATTAGCCTGTTCACACCTCAATCCTTCTTGTGCTGCATCTCCTCCCTGCTGTGAAGGTCCTCCAATTGAAGAACCTACATGCTGCTGCTCAGGTTGTTGCTCAGGTTGCTGCTCAGGTTGCTGCTCACTTAAGGACCCTTCATGTTGCTCAGTTTGCTGCTCAAGTTGCTGCTCAGGTTGCTGCTCAAGTTGCTGCTCACTTAAGGACCCTTCATGTTGCTCAGTTTGCTGCTCAAGTTGCTGCTCCTGTTGCTGCTCACTTGAGGACCCTTCATGTTCCTGTTGTGCATCACCACTTTGCTCACCAATGTGCTGGCTCTTTGCTGTTCTTCTACTTCGACTCTGTCCTCCAGTTGACCCTCTAATGAACAGCCTCCTCTTAGGAACTAGGTGAGAAAAAGATTCTTCTACTACACTACCCTCCTCATCCAACTCTTCTATCAAAACACCACTTTTCTTCTTCTCTGCTGGTTGGATCACTATGGGAGACTTGCAACTATTAATTTCTTCAGCTGTTAGATGGTTGCAATAGACTTCCATTACCTTGTACTTATAAGTCCAACCACAAAACTTGATAACGTCATCATCGGTACATAACTCTCTTAAACCATTTCTTAGATCCTTATTTGGTTCAAGGTAGTAGTACATTATGGCAGCGTTACGATGTCCCATTTTTCCCACCATTTTATTTAGTTCAATGGTTGACATTCTTTCGGCATTACAAACATCTACATAGTCCACCTCTCCATTAGCATACCAGACATACTGTTCCCACATAATTCTACCCCCATGATGCATCCGAATAGTAAACCATTCAGAATCAGTCTCTACAATAGCAATTAGGATAAAACAGTCAACAAAAAACAAACAGAGGCTGACAAATGAAATACTGAATTGGTCAGTATTCAGCAAAAAAAAAAAGATCCTAAACAAATAAAGTGTCCCTTTTGCAGCCATTAAAATACATCACTTTCAAAATAACCTCCTTTGTCCGACATTATCAATTTACAACAAACAAAATAGGACCACAAACTGGACCACAAATTGGACCACTTAGCCTCCCAATATCACCATTACCCAAACATATACACAAATAAGTCCCATTACACATGCATATACTAAACAAATAAGTTCCAGTACACATTGCCCAAACATATAAACAAATCTTAAACCCAAAAGGGTTAGTAAACAACAATTTCAATTACCGTAAACAAGGTACGGATCAAAGTAGTCATCCTTCCTCCTTATTCGCCACTTCATTTCTGTCTTTACAACCCCTCCCACGCCGGCAATTACCACTTTCGCTGCAGCGTCCGAATTGAACACTCTGATTTAAGTCGCACTAGGATTTTACAGCAAAGGGGGTGAAATTGTTGGAGGGAAAATGGTTGGTGAAAATGTTTTTACTCTGTCTTGGCCAAGAGACTATAGTGCCCTTCATATTTGTGCGCGCATCTCACGAGATTAAGCTTCCCGTCATAGTTAACTGCTGGATTTGACAGAAGGGCCACGAATATGCCATTTTGTTAGATCGAGGGCCAAAACCGTTTCTTTAATTGTTGGAGGGCCAAAACTTTACCTGAGTAAGAGTTAGAGGGCCATTGGGACTCTTTTCCCTGCAAAGTATGATATTTATGAGGTTGTGATATTTAAGTTTCACAATATGAGCAAATGTAACACCAATTTTTCTCATTAAATGCATTTATTATAGTACTAGAGTGCAGAAATTACGAGCAGCCCATCGCCAAAAATATGAGCAAATGTAACACCAATTTTTCTCATTAAATGCATTTATTATAGTACTAGAGTGCAGAAATTACGAGCAGCCCATCGCCCAAAATATTTCTCCAATATTATTCCAAAAAACAACGCACCATCAAAAAGATCAATTAAAGTTCAATTTAGTTTTTTTTTAAAAAGGAATGAGCAAAATAAAATAAATAAAAAAGGAAGTATTTTCAAATACGGACAAGTTTTCGAACAATCATAATATGAACTGTACAACAAATTACGTAACATGGTGACTCATTTTATTATTGTCATCGACGCCGGATAACGTGTATGTGTTTTCCTTTGTTTTCTTATTCTCTGTTTTGCCGTTGCGTACAAGAAGAAAAAGAAGGAAGCCTTTTTGTTTTCTGCTCCCCCGAGGATTTCCGGGAGAGAAATCTGATCATATTTTCCTCCGCGAAAACTAAGAAGATATAAAGGGTCAAGGCTGATTAACCACGATTTCCATCAACAAGTAATATATTTGATCAAGAAGGCAGAGTCATGTGTGACTGCTGCGGTGAAGGCTGTGAATGTCACCCTCTCGGCTTTCTCCTGGGCCTTCCCTTCGCATTGATTTCCTGCCTCCTCTCAATCGTCGGCGTTGTCATCTGGATTGTCGGGTCAGTACATCTTTTCCTCCCTGATCATCACTATCACCCCCTTCTATGTTTTAACTCTCGATACACATCTAATCCTTTACCCTAGAAAAAACTGTGTAGCATGTCTAGGATCAAGGTAAATTCTTTTCAAAATTTTGTTTTCTGGGCTTGAATTAGAGTTGAGCCATTGCCCTCAGTTCTCTGATAAAATGTTTTCACAAAAATTTGTGTGGCATGTTTAATGTTACGGTAAATTCTTCCTTAAATTTTTTTTTTGGTTTTCTGGGCTTGAATTAGAGCTGAGTTTTATTAATTATAGCCATTGCCCTCAATTCTTTGGGTTTTTGTCATGAGAATTATTGCAGGACTTAAATTTTTTTTCTTTCTTTGTACCAATTGCTTATTGGAAATTTTGTGATGCAGAATATGCATAAGTTGCATATGTCCATGCTGCATCTGTGTAACTGTGGTGATAGAGCTGGCGCTTGGGCTGATCAAAGCTCCATTCTCCATCATGAAGTGGTTCACGAAGCAAATCCCTTGTTAGAAGCTTGAATCTCCTCAACCTGGCCCTGGTTTTTAGTCGGTTTTGAAAGTTGAAACTCATCTAAGATTCTGTCTTTCTTGGTTTCAGTGTACGATAACTTTATTGATTGAATTCTTTAAACTCAAATCAACTGGACACAGACATCAGTTAGATGCTCATGAATTTCTTGAACCCCATCCTTTAGTTTTACCCCATTTTCTTTTTATGATTCTTTGTCAATTATCAATGTACAATTTTTTTCTTTTACTATAATTTGTGGTGTATAAAAATTTATCTTTTAGTCAATGTGGTGAGCTGTGGCATGACGCGTCAACCCCGACAAATTTTATCTTGAATTCATGATGTGATCACATGGGACATGAAACTTGTCCACGCTATTCGCGGGGGACCATCCTGTCGATCTACAACTAATATAATTATTGACAATGGCCGGTGTTCGTTTTCTGAGATGAGTGTGGTTTTATTTCTTGAGGGATAAGGGGTAGGAAGCTGCTAAAGAAAACTTGAGGTAACCCCTGTTTCTTGCTGTGCAGACAACTGAGCAAATAAAGAAGAAGAATTGCCTAACAACTAGATATAAACTTGAATCTTTTGGCTCGAAGAACTTAGTGTAAATTAAGCTTGATCCCCATGAACTTGGAGGGGAAATCAATTTGCAACCCTAGGCTTTTCCTAGAGGCAATTGCTTCCATTGACTGAATCAAGTTGTAATTTTTAATGGTCAAAATTTTTTTTAAGAGCTAATGATATATAGATTATTAGTGTATATACTAGCACGATTGCATACATAATATATATGTAAAATTTATATTTCAAATTCTATTTTGAAAAAAAATAGACCGAAGGGAAAGCCACCTAACTCGTTTTAAAGCTCAGTTGGCCTCCCTCCTGGGGCATAGGTCAGGTGGTTGAATCTTCTTAATTGCATTTTTCTCTCCAAAATTTTCTGAAACATGGTCGAATGTTATTTAGGATGCGTTTGATAAAATTGAAATCTAAAGTATGAATCCATTAAATTATTAAGTACTAAATTTGATATTATTGAATTGTTATGTACTAACACTGAGATCTGAAGTCTTAATATATTAAGTTATTGAGTTGTTAAGTACTAATTTTGATATATTTAAGTATATATCACATTAAGTGATAAGTGAATAGTTTGTCACTTATTTTTGGGAGCAAGTGTCACTTAGTTAATTCATATGTTCAATTTCTTATTATCAAACGCGTCTAAACATATTAATATCTCAATCGATTAAATTCAAGTGCTGAATTAGACGATCAAACAAAGTCTTAGCTCCTTTCGAGCCCATCAGTAGATTAGATAGGTCCATCTTCCACCTCTTTCCTCCAATATAGGACCAATTGTAATAATGTTGGGCTAAAAAAAATACCGTTTTTAACAACATCATATTCTTGTATAATTCTTCAAACATCAGGCAGTCAAAGTTATTCATCGACCTCCTGTATCAAATTGGAAATCGTCTTTTGCAAGTGATCGTAAGCCATTTGCTGGGCACATCGAAGATGAATAGATTCTAGGCGATTTAGTTCAGTATTTAAGGTTCTCCCTTGCGTCTTTGATATTTGATGATTTCATTGAAACATTCTCTAATATCTTATTGTTTGTCTTCTCTGAAATGAAAAACAGAAATGATGAAAGGGAAAAAAAAGCTGCCTTTCTTAATTTTTTTTTTTTTAAGAGTGAGGTTTTTTTGAACCATGTTTCAAGGACTCGGGATAAATTACCATCTCTATCTCTACTATTGGATAGAGCTCTAGCGTTTTAAAACTACAAAGTAAAAATCGTCATGGGCTGGAATAAAGGTTTGATGACTGGCAAAGCATTTGCGCTGAAGAAGCTTTACAGGCCTGGGAATCCAGTGTCCAGAAATCTAGCCAGCCACGAGGCCCAAGGAAATGGCAAGCTTAGCATACAAGGGCAACTATGAACCGTCATGCTAAAACCAACTAGAGTTACCAACAGTTATCTAAGCATGTATCAATCATCATGGATGAAACACATGAAAGTTTCTTATACATAGATTCGGACGTGGACACCCAAAATCTAGTCATGCTAAAAGCCTAAAACAAACATATGGCTTGGCAATTGCAATAATTACTTGAAAATTGAAATTGAATTTTATCTAGAGACATTCCTCAAAAATCTTCCTCAAACGCTCTGGAAAAAAAAAAAAATCATGTATGCGAGTGAGTAAATGGTAAAAGCGCAAGAGAAACATCGCAAATTTAACAAGAAACACACGTTTATTAATTTCATGATATACGACAATTCGATCATACGAGGATGGAAAATATTGAGGGACTCGACCCTAATTCCTGTCGCCTTAACGATGTTTATTGAAGCTGTCTGCTGCATACAATCATTTAGACGACTGCAACCCATCTTGGCTGCATGTGCGAGACAGAGACGATATAACGACCGTGGATGGATTTGACTTCTCTGCGATGAATTTTTTTTTATTTTTTATAATATATATTTGGATGTATGACAAATTTTTTTTTTTACAAAAAAAAATATAATCATTTTAATTAATTTTAAATCTTATTAATAAATAAAGATATGTGTCAAGCATTGAGACACGTACAACAAAAAATGGAGAGGAAATCTATCCGAGGAGAGGCAAATCCGCCCTTCACAAGATCCTACCGTCCCAACAGCTATATATTTCTAGGAAGGCTTAAAGGAATCTGTCTCTGGCTATTCCACAATACAAAAATCCTGCAATCCCATTGGCTATTTCTGATGGAGACCTCTTGTCTTTGTCATATTGACAAGGGGTGTGAGAGAAATTTTCAAAATTATAGAGGTGGTAAGTGCTATTACGGAGAACTGCAGGGGAGGTTTCTAAAATTATCTCCCCAAATATATACGACATTCCAACCGTAAAAGGGATGTACGTGGAAGACCGCTCAACCTCGGCAGACAATTATAGAGATTTTGGTCAATATTATAGAGATTTTGTCATATTATAGGGATTTTGGTCAATAGTCAATACCAAGAATCTATGCAGCCCACTTGACCACAGCATCTATACCAAAACCTCTTGCCAGAAATTCTCAAAACCATCAAGCGAACCAAATCCAATGAACCATGGCTGCCTCAGGTTTTCAAACCACTCTAACGTGCACATTCCTCTAAAGTCCAGCTCTACACACCTATTCGTAAATTATGAACAATTATTTCATCAAATCACGATCCTGCCGTTTTGTCGCCTCTAGAAGCACTGCTATTATACTCCTTCCGGCTCTGTTTTTCTTGTTCGTCTGTCTCAAACTGTAATCTAATTTTTAATTAAAGAATGTAGCTGTATTTTAAATTTTTTAAAATATTTTTATTCAATATAAGTTGTTGTTACTATAAATTTATCCCATTTAATGAATGTTAATTCTTTTTTTTATCATCAATTCAAATTCTCATAAAGTTATACATGTGAGGGTATTTTAAAAAAAATTATCTAAATTAATTGTTCAAATAAAGTTAATTATTTTTTTAAATTATATGAAAAAATAATCGAAATTATCAAAATGGGACGGCAGGGAATATTATGTTAATTCGTAGGTGTCAATACGGACTAGATATTACAACTATTTGACATTATTCAAATACAATCCAATCCTCTTGTGCAGCTGACTTCCTGCCTACCCAGTACCCACTGCCCATAGTCTTTCAAAAGCATCAAAACTTACAAACACAACACACAGCAACACACTCCCCTGTCCCGCCGCCTCCCGGCCCACAAACAAAGACGCTACTATGATGCCAAGCTATAAATACGATGATCATGCGACCTAAAACCAGAAAGCTCTTTTAAACCAAAAACGCCGAAAGTTTATAACAATTTCTTGCAAAAAAAAAAAAAAAAAAAAAGTCCAGAAAGGTGACAGAAATGGAAATTCAAGCTAGTCATGGAAGTGGCATCACGGCTTGCTCAGCTCAGGTGAAGCCACCAGCCGGAGGAAGTCTTGGGAGCCACTTGGCTAAGCGGCTGGTGCAGATTGGGGTGAAGGACGTGTTCTCAGTTCCTGGGGACTTCAACCTAGCGCTGTTGGATCATCTAATAGCCGAGCCGGAGCTGAATCTGATCGGCTGCTGTAATGAGCTGAACGCTGGATACGCAGCTGACGGCTACGCACGCGCCAAGGGAGTCGGAGCGTGTGTGGTGACGTTCACTGTGGGTGGGCTGAGTGTGTTGAATGCAATCGCTGGGGCTTATAGTGAGAATTTGCCAGTCATATGTATCGTTGGTGGGCCCAATTCCAATGACTATGGGACCAACCGGATCTTGCATCACACTATTGGGTTACCCGATTTCTCTCAGGAGCTCCGGTGCTTTCAGACAGTCACTTGTATTCAGGTGAAGATGTCTTTACTTTTTTTCTTACTTTTGTCTTGACCCACTTTTTCCTTAAAATGTAGAACTATTAATTTTTTTTTTTTTTTTGCATATCACTATTCGAAAAATAGCTGATTAGACAATCAGATTTATTGCAGATAAGCAGGTACATTGTGACATTGTGATCTTGAAACTGTTATTAAATTGAAAAGAGATACAAGGATTGATAATTCAAGAAAAACAAAATGTTAAAAATGTTGATTATTGCCATGCTGAGATGTAATTTAGGCTTAAAATGTGATAGGTGATTTAAAGAGGCAAGGGGCGAGTGCAGTTGGTAATATAATGTAATGTATTTTGTGACTTGGCTATGAAGGTTTCGTTCACCTTGAAAGTAAAACAACTATTGATATAAATTGGGTTCTAGAAAATACATTTAAAATTCATTGAGGTCCCAATTATCACCCATTCAAGTCCAATAGAATTGTTAACACAAGATTGAACTACGCTAATATTTGATGGTATGGTGGCTTTATGCAATTGATTTTTAGAGAGTTGTACATATCTTGTTGGAACAATGGTATACCCAATTTGAGCTATCGAGTTGACATGTTGAAAGTATTTGCTTTTTTTCCACTTGGGTTGGGTGTTATTGCAGTGTTCAATCAGTTGAAATATGTTAATGTGGACTGGTATTTTTATTGCTATATACTGCCAAATTGAGATTGATAAACTGTAATGTGACAGGCAGTGGTGAACAACCTGGATGATGCTCATGAGTTGATTGACACAGCAATTTCAACTGCTTTGAAGGAAAGTAAACCAGCTTACATTAGCATTAGTTGTAATTTGCCTGGACTTTCTCATCCTACCTTTGCAAGAGAGCCAGTCCCATTCTTTCTTGCACCAAAGTATGTTATTCTTCTGTACTTCCTCATTTCATGGAGTTTAATGTCATTGAGTTTTCTGACAGCGTTTTTATTTGCTTAGTCTTGGAGAATGAACATTTTCACTTGATCCGAAGTAGATTATTTGTTATATGTGTTTGCGTAGGAAAAACAACTAAATCAGATAAGCTGCTAATGGTTCAGATTGGTGGCACTTTGTCCTTTGAGATTTTCAGGTCTTTTGGATATCATCTGTCTGTTTCTGTGACAGTTAATTTTCGACTTTTGGCCACTAGACTTCATCATATTCAAGGAAGAACGCATGGAAACTGTCTTTTTTTGTTTTGTTTTGTTTTGTCTGCACTTTGCATTTTGTAATTTCGTTGACTATAAACTTTTCTGTTTATAAAACTTAAAACAGCTTTGAATGCAAATATCTTTGTAATATCGCTTAAAAGTATGTTGGTATTTCTTTGCAAGTCTTTCAACTCTTTTTTATTTTAAGAAGTTGTAATACTTATCTACTGCATGAATCTCTCTCCTTGCAGGGTTAGCAATCAGCTGGGATTGGAAGCGGCAGTTGATGCAACAGCTGAATTTCTGAACAAAGCTGTGAAACCTGTCATCGTTGGAGGCCCAAAGCTAAGGGTGGCAAAGGCACAGCAGGCATTTTTGGAGTTCGCTAATGCTTCTGGCTACCCTGTGGCTGTTATGCCATCAGCCAAGGGGCTGGTGCCAGAGCACCATCCCCATTTTATTGGAACATACTGGGGAGCAGTCAGCAGTAGCTTCTGTGGGGAGATAGTAGAATCTGCTGATGCATATGTCTTTGTTGGCCCTATCTTCAATGACTACAGTTCAGTTGGGTATTCTTTGTTGATCAAAAAAGAGAAATTAATTAGTGTACAACCCAATCGTGTTACTATATGTAATGGGCCTTCATTTGGCTGGGTTTTCATGACGGAATTCTTGTCTGCACTGGCCAAAAAGCTGAAGAAAAACAGCACTGCCATGGAGAATTTTCGCAGGATATATGTCCCTCCAGGAGTTGCTCTCACACGCGGGAAGGATGAACCTCTTAGAGTAAACATCCTCTTCAAGCACATTCAGGTACAATTACTATGCACAACTCTCTACTTCTTTTCATGTGCATCTATTATTTGTGCAGTTCTGAAGAAGATCCAATTCTTGCATAATCAAACTCATGAGAAGCACACAATTAAGAATCAATAATTACCGAACGATGATTTTTTCTGTTGATTGTGATACAGATTTTGTTGATATCATACTCATGCAAATCCATCTGCAATAATTTTGCTTTTTTAGGTTATGCAAGAAGCTTCAATCTTAAATGTCAAATGCTAGAATATGTAGGCATTCATCTCTAAGAATTTTAACAATGTTAGCATCAGCAGGACACTGGCATGCACTAGCTCAGTTTGCTGGAAAGTTAGTGCATGATGTAGAATGGGAACAAAATTTCCCAATATGTCTGATAGACAGCACAGAAGGAAATGAGGGCAGTGGCCCCTTTTTGTAATTAACTCTTGTAGTATCAAGTGTTAATACCTATATATAAAACTGTTAACGTTTGTTGGAAAAGAGGACACTGGCATGCCTCTTGCATTGACTTAACCAAGCTCATTTACAGGAAATGTTGAGTCAAGAAACTGCGGTAATTGCAGAGACAGGAGATTCATGGTTCAATTGTCAAAAGCTTCGGCTGCCTGAGAATTGCGGGTAAGTTTGACTCTGTTGCAAAGTTGGATTCAGCATCTACTCTACAGTACTGTGTTTCAAGACATTTTCACAACTTAGAGGAGTTTTTGGTTAGATTTAGGTTTACTGTCTTTAAAACAGTTTTTTTATGTGATTATGTCTGTTCAGGTATGAATTCCAGATGCAATATGGATCCATTGGGTGGTCGGTGGGTGCAACTCTAGGTTATGCTCAGGCTGCTAGAAACAAACGTGTTATTGCTTGCATTGGAGATGGGAGCTTCCAGGTCAGAGAAAGATTGATTTTAGTTCAAATGACATAACAAACTGAATTTATGAACTTAAGGCATGGCACTATACAATTAGTCTTCATAGTCAGCTTCTTGGGCACTTGAGGCCTTAGGTTTAGTGCAATGACATTTCCATCTGAAAGTGTGCTCATCTTGTCAAATTCCAAATATACAAAAAGCTTTAGACCAATGCGAAAAACAGAATGCTGAGTCAATATTTTTTTAATTCATTTCACAGGTGACAGCTCAGGATGTTTCAACCATGTTGCGATGTGGGCAAAATAGCATAATATTTTTAATCAACAATGGAGGGTATACAATTGAAGTAGAGATTCATGATGGCCCCTACAATGTCATAAAAAACTGGGACTACTCGGGTCTTGTGAATGCTATCCACAATGGTGAAGGCAAATGCTGGACTGCCAAGGTTAGCTTTAACAGACAAATGCCTACTGCCTTACTTTTTGAGTTAAAATTATGATCAACATTAACTGAACATTCAACATTAGTATAATTTCTAGTTAATGGTGAGCAACAGCTTGATGAAATTAATGTGATTCTTAGAAGGATTTTACATCTACTCTCTAAACTAGTGGAAGTGGTATTCCATATCCTTGGTACTCACGGATGGTCTCTTTGGTAACAGGTGAGAACTGAGGATGAGCTGACAGAAGCAATTGCAACGGCAACAGGCACACACAAGGACTCCTTATGCTTTATTGAGGTTCTGGTTCACAAAGATGACACCAGCAAAGAATTGCTTGAATGGGGATCCCGTGTTTCTTCTGCAAATAGCCGCCCTCCTAATCCCCAATAGCGGCATGAAACTTGTAGTAATGGCAAAAGACTTAACAATGGCATCCGAATTGCCAGTACCTTTGGTCCATGGAGATGCTGGAGAAGTAGAAATAAGAACTTTAGCAATTCCAATTGCTATGTTGTGCTTAACAAGAATGTTTAAGCGCCTGTAGATGCAATATTGTAATTTTACTGTACATTAGCAGCAGAGTTTTTGATGTTTCTTAAATTGTATGTCGTACTGAAGCAAAATGAGTATTTGCGTTTAGTACATCAAATTGTGGTGCATTGATAACAAGTTGATTCAAGTGAATAACAGTTTGGGTTCTGAGAGAATCCTTTTAGGCCTCAGTCTTGTTGATCACTTCGTTGTCTACTTCTACTATTTTGTTCCAAAACCAGTGTTTCCTCCAAACTCTTTCCATCTGCTCAATCGGCACATTCTTGGTTTCTGGCAATAAGAGGTAAACAAATGCGGTCATGAGCGCAACCCAGCCTCCAAAGAAGAAGAAAAGCCCATACTTGAAATGGCAAAGCATTGATAGAAAAGTTTGTCCAACAATGAAAGTGAACAAAAAGTTGACTGCAACATTGATACTCTGTCCAGCTGATCGTATCTCAAGAGGAAAAATTTCACTGGGAATTAACCATCCTAATGGACCCCATGACAATCCAAATCCAGCAACATATAAGCAGATCAACACCAAAACTAGAAAGGCATGCCCTTTGCTCAATCCACCATGATCCCCCAGCTTTGCCGCCATAACTCCCCCCACTAAAATTTGCATGACAAACATACAAATGCCACCGTTTATCAGCAGAAACCTTCGGCCAACTTTGTCAACGACCAACATTGATATGAAGGTGGTGCAAATACCTACAGATCCAGTCACTGCAGCGGACATGAGCGATGCACTTTCTTTCAAGCCAATTGTGCGAAAAAGTATTGGAGCGTAGAAAGCGATCACATTAATCCCCGTCACTTGCTGGAAGAATGGTATCGCTACTGACATGACAAGTTGAGGCCTGTATCTCCTCTGAATGATGTTTTTGAAAGGATGCTTAATGGTTTTAGAAATCTCACCAGCTTTTATAAGATCATCAAATTCTGCCTGGACATCTTCGGTGCCTCTGACTCTTTGCAGTATCCTCTTGGCCTTTTCATGATTGTTGCTGTGCTGAAGTATACTATTCGGAGTTTCTGGAAGAAAAAGGGCACCTAGAGTCAGAATAAATGCTGGGACCGCTGCCAGAGCAAGCGAGATTCGCCATCCCCGTCCGTCTTTTATCTTTTCAGTGCCATAGTTAATCAAATTGGCTATTAAGATTCCAATGCCAATGCTTAGTTGAAAGCTGTTGTTGATTGCTCCCCTGAATTTGGCTGGCGCCATTTCTGACAGGTATAGTGGAACAGCCTGAAGATTGGTAGAGGACAACGTATACATGTAAGCTGAAAAGAAATTAAGATTGATAAATTGAACTAGACCCATTCATAAGCTCATTTGTTTCCTTTATTATTATGCGGAAGGACTGACAGCTGATGCATCTCACCTGGTTTGCAAAACCAACACCTATTCCAAGCAAAATTCTTCCAAATATAATCATGTACACATTGTATGCAGCGCCACCAAGAGCTGCTCCAGAAAGGAAAGCAGCTCCTCCAGTAAGGATCGATGCCTTGCGCCCAAAAGCTCGAGTGAGTGATGAAGCACAGAATGAAGCAACGAGGCCAGCTAGATAGAGTGAAGAGGTGAATAACGTCAAGAGTTGGCTGTCGAATTTACAATAGTTGCTTGTTTTGGTGTCCTCTTTCATTTTAGCGTAGACATCTGGGAAGAATTTCTTTAGAAATGGCTCCATAGAGGTCACCCCGCCTTCAAAATTGCCAAAACAAGTTAGGACTTCTGATCACTCAAGTAGTTGGCCAGTTGGTAGCAATGATTAACAAATACACATGTATTCCTTCACAGAATTTTACTCTTTGCATCTCTAAGAAGACCCGAAACTTATCAGAAATTAACGAAAAATATAGGAAACTCTTATGTTGGAACTATAAAAGTTGGAATATAACTCGACACCTGTATGCCTACTTCACTCAACACTTGCTCATGCATCATTTCATCAAAGATTTCTTTGTTTTCGACAATGAAACATTGAAACAAAATTGCTACTGAAGAAACCTGAAATTCCAATATCATAGCCAAATATGACTCCTCCCATGGCAGCCATCATGCAAGACAAGACCACGAACGCTGTCATCCTGCCATTGTAGTTTCCTCCATCACTTGTAATTGCCAACCCCACAGCCATAGCCTCTTCCGAAATTATCTGCAGCAGAAGAAGTTCCGGCAGGTGCTTCTGCCACTGCCTTATTCTCAAGGGATTGAAAGGAGTACTGTTGTACTCAAGCGTTCCAACTTGAAATAGAGGCCAGAGAAGGACACAGCAACAAGTCCAACTTGCTTGCTTGCTTGAGATGAGTACAATATTGTCCGATCCACAATTTCAAAATATAATATCTTTTCTTGACTTTTTGGTAACCATGTGATGTTGGAATGCTGGTTGTCATCATTGGAGGCTTATATAGCCATCATTATTGTCAGCTATGAGGAATTGAGGAATATTCAACACAAGGTAACCCGAGGAATCAATTCACTAAGCGTTATCTAAAAGAATGGACATGCAGGTATCTTGACTATAATATCTTTTTGCCAATTAAATGCACCAATTAGGGAAGATTTCCATAATTCCATCCATTATTGGTAAGAGAAATCTCCACATTTGATATTTAGTCATCCATACATGATCTTCCCTCCTATCATCAGCCAATATAGTGAAAAATTAGTAGTTTGGAAAGTTTCATGGTACAAGTACAACAACGAAAATCTCTTGTTGGAAAGACAGTCATTAGCTACCTAATTGAAGAACATTATCCTTTCTCCTGCTTACGGCTCTGAGCATTATCTTGAGTTCAAGGCAATTAATATAGTATAACAAATATGCATTTCAAATGTATAACGGAGAAAGAAAGTAACGAATATACTTTTATTTCAAGTTATAGTAATTATTAATGATTAAAAGATATATCAATTGATTATTATAAAATTAAAGTTACGTAGAAAAAGTATTATAAATGCAAGAGACGCAACGAAAATGAGAAAATATTGTAACCATTTATTAGAAAGAATCTAAAATATTTTTTCCCCCTTAAACTTGGGATTATTTAGGTATCATCCCGTTTAAAACTTCTCGTAATCCTTCTGTTTTTCTTCTAGCAAACAAACAAAAGAACTAGAATCCAAATTTTGCATAGTTTTTCTTGACCTGTTGAATCTACCTATCCCGTCAGTTTTAAGACTCTGACAAGTTGCTAGGTTAGATGTGTTCGTAGAACCTGGGAGCTGAGTTTAACACCCCTACTGCTGCATATTCTCCTGGCCGACGCATTCGTTGCATTATGCTGGATAAATTGTTTGGGCTTAAGAGCTAAATGTACATAGTGTTGATGGAATTAGCGTGCTCAATGCAATTGTGCAGCAACCAGAATAATGTCAAAATGTGCGAAATTCAAAACCCCGATCCTATCAAGCTCGAATTTCCCACCAAAAGATTGTAACTACCTTTTGAGCCCTTTAACATCATCCACTTCTCTCTCTTCTGTCCTGCAACACTACATCAACTCAGACCACCCTTCTCATGGCCAAAAGATTCATTCCCACATCATTAAAACTGGGTTCAAGCCCAATCGCAACATCTCCATCAAGATCATCATACTTCACCTGAAATCATCTAGCTTGTCATATGCGCAGAAAGTGTTTGATGAATTGCCTCAGCCAACTCTTAGTTCTTATAACTACATGCTATCAGGTTATATAAAACATGGGCTCGTTGAGAAGTCTTTTGATTTGTTTAGAAAATTGACGTTTTCGGGTGAAAAGTCTGACGGGTTTACATTTTCAATGATATTGAAGGGGTCTAGTTTTGAAAGTGTATTGTCGCGATCCAAGACTGTGGGCAGAGAAGTACATGCCCAGATAATAAAATCTGGTGTTGATGGTGATGATGTGCTTTACACGGCTTTAGTTGACTCGTACGTGAAGATTAGGAGATTGGACTATGCAAGGAGAGTGTTTGATTTGATGTTGGAGAAGAATGTAGTTTGTTCTACGTCTATGATCACTGGTTACATGAACCAGGGTCTTATCGAAGATGCTGAGCACGTCTTCAACAAAACAGTGGAAAAAGACGTGGTGGTTTTCAATGCAATGATTGAGGGTTACAGTAAATTGATTGAAACTGCCAAGAAAGCAATTCAGGTTTTCATTGCCATGCAAAGGATAGGGTTTAAGCCCACAATATCAACCTTTGCGAGCATTATTGGGGCTTGTTCTGTAATATCTGCATTTGAAGTTGGTCAGCAGGTTCAGGGGCAACTTATGAAGACTGAATTGTTTACTGATATAAAAATGGGGAGCGCTCTTCTTGATATGTATTCAAAATGTGGAAGAACTGTGGACGCAAGAAAAATTTTTGATCATATGCCTGAAAAGAATGTGTTTTCATGGACTTCCATGATTGATGGTTATGGGAAAAATGGTGCTCCAAATGAAGCACTTCAGCTGTTCAATAGGATGCTGTTAGATCCCTTGGTCAAGCCTAACTATGTTACATTTCTCAGTGCTCTTACTGCATGTGCACATGCCGGACTAGTTGCAACAGGATGGGAGATCTTTTACCGCATGGAGAGAGACTACTCGATGAAACCAAGGATGGAGCACTATGCCTGCATGGTTGATCTCTTAGGCCGTGCAGGAACTCTTAATCGGGCCTTGGAATTTATTATGGAGATGCCTCAAAATCCTAATTCTGATGTTTGGGCTGCTCTGCTGAGTTGTTCTAGGCTGCATGGAGATGTGGACATGGCAAATTTAGCTGCCAATGAACTTTTCAAATTAAATGCTGAGAGTCGACCTGGGGCATATGTTGCATTATCTAATACCTTGGCAGAAGCTGGGAGGTGGAGCAATGTAACTGAGCTTAGGGAGTTAATGAAGACAAGAGGAATATCTAAAGGCACTGGGTTTAGTTGGTTTGGCAGTGATAGTCTAGAAGCTTTATATGATGGACAATAGATGTAAATGAAGGTAAAAGCTTTTCAAATGTTGTCTTAAACTTCATGCTTATGCATTTCATTGATCTGCTAGATTATGCATGATTCTGAGATCTCTAAATTGAAAACTAACTGACCATGGATGCTTTTTAACTTGCTCTAGGGACAGACTTACTGATAGTTTTCAACCATAAACATGTCCTAGTCCTCCCTTTGCTTGTCCTGACATATGATAACAGGAAAACACAAGGAAAAAAGCACAACCTAAAAATTGAAAAGCTTATGCACTCTGAGTTCATTTGTAGAGAACCTGAAACCTATAGCCTTATTGCCCAGCATTGAACAAGTGACAGGAAACCAATTCCTTCAATATTTGTTCAATCATGCAATTTTCCTGGATAGGGAAGACATATCTGATGATGCTGGACAAGTTTGAACCTAGCTTGAATCATGTCAATGTTTTCATGTTGACCTCTGCCATTTAGTGGTACAAATCAGTGGTTGCCTTCATTGATGCAAACTGAAATCCCAGATGCAAATCATTTTCACACTGTGGTGAAAACCTACTTACATCACTGAACTGGTCGTTGTAGATGCTATGATTGTCCACTGACGTTAGATATCTATATTCTTGTACTTTCTTGTCTCAAAGGAACATACGTCTTGTGCTTTGCATATCGTGTTTTCATGTGAAGCAATTGATTTTTACTGGATTGCTTTTCCATCAGAGCGTTCTGAACTTCCACTTGTACCAACATGCTTTGGTAGCAGGGAAGCAAGAAGAAATTTTTTTTTACTTTTGGAATCCAGTATTTGATGTTGCAACCCATGTATGTGTAGATAGGGAAATTTAATACACATTATTTGGTAACTCTTCAACTGATCAACTAGAGTGGTTTAGAAATTTGGTCCAATCTTTTGCACGGGTTTCAAGTTAAAAAGGTTAAGCATGTGCCTTTTGAGACACAAGTTTGATAATACCGGAGTTAGGTTCTGCCGGGTTTGAGGCAATCCTGGTTTTTGTGTCATGAAAATCTTTGCCATGACATTTGTGAGATTAACTAATGAGGTGATTAATGATCCGTTTGCAGGCTGTGATGAATTTTCACAATTACTCATTCTTTGTTTCTAGGCCAGTTGGACTGATTATAAACAAGAAAACAATCAAGGAAGAACCTACAAAAAACTTGGCGCATGGGCTTGCCTACTTTTGATTCAATGCCTTGGCTAACAGTTGGAGAATATGAAGAACTTGGTTCATGGACGTTGCTGCTCTGTGATTGTTGTCAAGAATGATATTCAAGTAAGACATGATTTTTCTTTTTCTTGAGAGGGGATGATGGGGAAAGCAAGAATGGTGCAATAAAAATCCATATCTGGTCAAAGCAAGGTCTGTGTTCACTGCACAATATTTAATTCCAAGGGAAGGCTATGTTTAGCAATTTTTACAACAATAACATGGTCCTCTTTTCAGCGCTTTCTTCTTCTTGGATGAGATTCTTCATTGTCATTCAAAAATTTCCAATGTCATGATATGCATGGGTGATTTAGTTATCGCTTCTTATGTACAGGAATCATCATTCCGTCTTATTCTGGTTTATATTTGGTGTGGCAACTTCTTAGCAACAAAGTGATATAATTTAATTCCACTTTGGAAAGGAAATAATAGGAGAACTCTTTTTGCACCTTCACTGAGAAACAAAAAAGTTATTGCTCGGAGTGATATTCAAATTGGCAATTCATTTAATCAATACCTACTTGTAGTCAATCAAGTTGCTTACCACATCTACTGTTTATTGAATTGATACAGGTGCTGGCTGAACTTAGCATGGTGAGGATAATGGTTCCATGGTTGGTTCCAGATCGGTCATTTTCATCAATTCAATGGTCAGCACAGTTTTTAAGTGGAAATATACATCCTATAATGACTTCATTATATGGTTAGACAAGCTTAGTGAGTACCAAAGCAAAAATGCTTTAAGAAGAGTTGATTGAAAATTGAAAGTTTCATCTTCATGCAGTTTATCTTCATTCCAGATTATTATAATGCTGAACACAGCTCCATCATCATTGGCAACATATGGGTCTTCTTTGTAAAGTTTTGTTTATTGTACTTGTAGCTAGGGCAAGAGACAAATGTAGCAGGGAATAAAAAATTAGCTGATTGCCTCTCCGAAAATTTGTAGTTTCTTGTACGTTATACTCAAGATTGGGTGATTTGGATTTGTTTAGTTGCTCTTGAATCGCGAAATCTTTCTTTTCATGACCTTCTTAATGCTAACATATTTTCCTTCCTTAAATTCACGAATTAGTTTCTTACCTTTTAAAGCTTTTGTCTCTGTATACCGCCAAATACAAAGGATATTTTTAT